ACGCAGCCCGGAAGACCCAGACCAGCCATTTCAGTCATTGTCAATTCTACACATTGGGATGTTGTTTGTAAACCTAGGCATAAAACATGCTAAAATACTATCAGGTAGAAATATGCAAAGCTTTATTTTGCCACAATATACGTACCTCTAGTGTTGGGTCAAGACTTGAATGGAGCTTAGAGCCTTGTTATATGATCCTAGGATGTGTTTGAAACAATACATGGGATGTGTTGATAGGTAACCATGACCTAGTCCTTCTTAATATGAACAGTTTGGACAAAGCTGGGATTTGGATATATTCATATAATAATTTTGTGTTATTATTTACCAGTTGAAGCTTTCCCCAACTTTTCTTCTCCAGTTGTACAACTAAGACTATAGCTCCTAGAATTCCTCTTCAGCATAGGTTCCAATTCTTGGAGCTGTAGTTACAACACAACAGGAGAATATCTTGTGGTGACTAAATTGGTTAGAACGGATTCTCTAAGTAGGACCCAGGCTGTAGAATTAAATTGGCAAAGTGCGCCTGCTGAGGAATGTAGATGGATCGTGCATACTTTCTGAGGATCTCACACCAAGAATGCTGGCAGCTAATTGCAGGCAGCTTATTCTCTGCATCACCATAGTTGCTTGGCAGCAGAGGCAAGAAAACATTTTCCAGTTCTGAAACTCACAATCTGAATAGCTTTTATTTTTACTGGCAAAAGTGGTGCACAAACTGAGGTCCCAAGTCAACATCTAAATGGCTGGGCTTCAGAGATCTATAAAATGTCTTAGCAAATTGTGATTTTTAATGTGACAAAAGGAAAAAATATATGCCTGGAAAGTAATTACATTAACTAAATTTAATTTTATTCTTTTTGTTTTTGTTGTTCAGTCGTTAAGTCGTGTCCGACTCTTCGTGACCCCATGAACCATATTGTGTCAGGCCTTCCTGTCCTTCACTGTAAACAAAATTAAGTAAATTTAGGATTCGTCCTAATTTCATTCATGAGAGGCCACCCTCTGACATACCATTTAAAGGCCAAGTATGGCTCTTGAATCAGAAAAAAACCTAAGCATCTCTGTTATAAAGTCTCAGTCTGAACAAACTGTGACTTGTCAAGAATAAGTCCGGTCTATAGACACAAAGCCTGATTCACCCCTGGACTGTTAATCCTGCAGTCTCCTGAGTTATATTAAACTTCCTTTATAATCCTTCTTCTCCAACCCTGTCCTTCTACCTACTGTAATGCCTGACGCTTCTGCAAGGTCACTTACCCACTATAAACAAATGGGCTGTAAAATTTGAAAATGAAATATATTGCACATTGACTGGGATTCAGATATGTCCGTGTGTCATAATGCAATGGCTTTGAAAAGGATGCTGTACCATTAATTCTTCCAGCTCCCCAATTTTTTAACAGAGCTTTTCTCCAATGCAGGTTCATTTATTGCTGTTCTGTGTCCTTGTTTCCATAAATGCTTTACTGGATCTATGGGAGGCTCATTTTGTTGTAGGATCACCAAAAATGGCAATTGATCTACATCCTGGAGTTATACTGAGCCCTAATTATGCACAGGGTTGAATTAACTCCATCAGTTTAGAAACATCTACATCCAATTAGTTACCGTGGTGTACCAATGACTAATCCTCCAAGAAAAGGAGGAGAGGAAAACCAACTGAAACAGCAAGCTTCTCCATGGACTGAACTCACTGCCAACACCTTCTCCCTCACACAGATTGATTGTAATGGCTAGCCCATGCCCATTGCTCCCTGCCTGGACAATGAGGAAGTGGCAAGTGAGGTAACAAAGCCTTGACAGTCTTCTCCTGGCGCAAGGGCTCATGGGATACCAGACCCCCCTTGGAGAAAGTGGCTGGAGCTGCTGTTCTAAAAATGGCCACTTTTGACAGCGTGGTTGCATTTTGTCAGAATTACTGGTAGGAAAATTTGACTGCATTGAGAATGTGGTAGTTTAGTTTAATGCAAGAAAGTACTGAAAACAAGATGCCAGTTTGGACCTTTAGCTTTGTAGTGAAAGGTAACCAAAATCAAAGTATATTGGGCTTAAATTGAGTTGCTTTTCAGAGAAAGATATTTGCATAGTGTCAAAACAGGAAATCAGTAAAAAGGAGGTACAAGAGACAATTCCAAGCATGAGAAATGCAATGTGGAAGCAGGTTTCCAAATTTGGAAGTAGGTTTGTAACACAAGTTCCTTAGTCTATTGCTGGTACCCAGAAGAGACGCTGATGAAGTGGCAAAGGCAGCAGGCCAGATTCCTGCCCACTCCTGTAGCCTGTCAAAGAAAAGGGACTGCTCTTGCGTGGCTCTATCCCCTCTGAGCTGAGGGTGTTTCAGCACTTCCACTACTAGGTAGCTTGTTAGAACCACGGCCAAATGTGTTATCAAATATTTCTGTCTTGATATGCTACAGATGTAGTAGGGCTACAGCTTTTGTACTGTATGTGGAGTGGAATTCTGGAAGTTGTAACTCAAGAGCATTAGGTTGAGGAGGTCTGCAATATACAGTATATCATGATGTTCGATGTTCATGGGTCTACTTGGCCATCTATAAAATGGGATGAGTGTGTAAAATGGATATCTATAGAATGGAAACTAAGTTCTCCCCATGTTTGCTCTTCCTCTCTCTTTTTTCATTATAAAAGTTATCTCAGTTTAAAAAAGAAAAAAAGAAAAAGAATGAGAGGAAATCCCCATCCCATCCTTTGCAAGAAAAGAAACATCTACCATTATTGAAGGGGAAATTACTAACTCTTCTCTCTTTTTTTTTAAATAATATTTTATTGAAGTTTTAAAGTTATAAAGTTAAAAGTTAGAAATGAAAAAGAAAATTGAAAATACAAATTATAAAGATAAAGAAAAGAAAAAGTGAGATAAAGTAAAAG